GGGGGGAGTTATTTCCAAATGAAATGCATTGGGTGTACCAAATGCTCTTAGAAATGGCCAATAAATGCTTGAATAATTTCAAGAGGGATTCCAGTTTATAGTCCTCACCACACACCCAATAGTTGCCCATCGGAGTCATGCTGAACCTGGCCTGGTGTGCACAAGCTCTTTCAAAACTGTGACCACCGCCACTGCACCGCAACCCCTCCCCTCCCCCAACCTGACCCAATCATTTCCAGAGAAGCACATTCCCTGAAACACAGCTATACGCCTGTGGGATGGGAATGCCCCGACTGCAACTGATTGGGCCGGGAGGGGGAAATGGCGGCCACAGTTTTTGGTGAACCTGGTTCCCACCAAATCCATGTTCATTTCTGCTGCTTTTGCAATCAGAGAAGTAGCAGCCTGGACCCAGAACCTGTGTGTGTTTTTTTTTTGGGGGAAAAATTCTCCAATTCAGCTACGTTGTCCTAGATTGTTTACTTCTCCTGCCGTCTCCAAACTCTTCACCTTTTCTGAATAACCCTGTTAGTCTAAAACTAAGGCTGTGAAAGGCAGAAACGCGTCAGGGGTTGTTCTTTGTATAGATGCATTTGGAATAAAAGTTGATTCTTTTTGGAAGGGCATCGTGTGCCCTCTTTGCAGTTTCTATGGTATTTACTCTTACAACGTTATTCACAGGTAATTGGTCCAGTTTTGGGCACCAGTGAACATAGGGGATGTCCTCGACCTGGAAAGAGTCCAGAGGAGGGCAACCAAAATCATAAAGGGGATGGAGGACCTGAGCTATGAGAACAGACTACTAAATTTAAACATGTTCTCATTGGAAGTAAGGAGATTAAGGGGGGACATGATTTTCATGTATAAAATGTTTATCGGGGATAGCAACAAACTTTTTACAATTAACTCCATGACAAGGACGAGAGGCCACCACTTAAAATTGGTGGAGAAAAACATTTCAGCACAAGTCTTTATTCAACCTCAAATACTATGTAACAAGCGGGTGAAGGGTTTGGAGAAGGCAGGAGAAGGGAACAATCTAGGGCAACATAGCTGAACTGGAATGTGAGCTGAAGTGGAGAATTTCTCCAAATTGGCTATTTTGGCCTTAGATTGATCACTTCTCCTGTCTTCTCCAAACCCTTCACCCTTTTTTTATGAATAGCCCTTTTAAATAGTTATCCGAGCACCGAATGATGGAATACAAAGATGCGTGATGAGGGGAGAGCTGTGCTTTGTGTGTTTCTGGTCTTCAGGCAGCTACTATAGGGTATTACAGCATCTTCCGGGTCCAGGAACAGCTGCTGTGCTGAGCAACTTCCACTCTGCTGTTCAAACACAGGAGGGGGATCACCCGATCACTCGGCAGCCATCTAGAGAGTGCCTAGTTCTTTTCTCAATGAATTCTAAGTGTGCTCTAATTGGACGAGGGGCAGTGACATCATGGCACCTCCCCTCATCCAATGAGAGAACGCCTTATAGTGATTTGTGAAAATACTTGGCACTCTCTGAATGGCCTCTGTGCCGATCGAGTGACCCCCCTGTGTTTTAACAGGGGAAGCCTCTCAGCACAACTTCTCCTGGACCCAGAAGATTGCTGTAAACGGCTGCGGCTACTACAATGTCTTACAGGACCCCGATGGCTTCCATAGGGAAGCAAAGTTCGATGTTGGTGCTTGCATACACTTTACCAGAGGTTCTAACTAAAATCGGAGGGGTTCATTCATAAAAGTCACCAGCTCCCCTAGATGGCGCTGATGAGTGTAGGAATTTCCTGTACTTGTCATCACAATCAAGCGGCGCTAGTGCTGTGCAAACATATGCCAAGTGCAATGTTGATCAATGAATCCCTCTGTGTCCCCCTGACATTGTTGAAGACGTGGCCCAAATTGCTTTTGGCAATCTGGGAAAAAACATTCTTTTTTTCCCCCCTACTGGAGCAAATGGAAAACTCCCGGGATCAACGTGTCTGTAAAGGTTCTCATCCATCCAGGTCATGTGTGTAAAAAAATAAAAAATCGAGGCAACTGGACTTGCTGTATTTTTTTTGAAGATGTTTCACTGGTTATCTGACTAGCTGACTGAATGCCCAATTGAGAAAGCTAGTCGGATGACCAGCGAAACGTTTTTAAGAAAAATACAGCAATTTTGATTTTTTTTCTTCTATACAGATCTACCGGGATCAACATTCCCTACTGTTATTTCCAAATATTATGCTGGTACATAGAAAACAGGTGTATTCTATGTGCCCTGTTCACACTATACAGGTGTGAGGGTGTACAATGCAAGAAAAAAAATGCATGTGAACTCCTTCATAGGTATGATTTGCCCTTTAATTTCCTTTGACGAACAAACTACCCTGTTTCCCCCGAAAATAAGACTTTGTACTATTTTTGGGAATTGCTAAAACCTGCCCCGAAAATAAGACCTAGTTGTGACCATTCCCAGGGTGGCATAAGGGGGAACTTGAAGAGCCGCTTGATTCTCTCCTGGGAACTTGGGAGAGGCAGGAGAGCATCAGTGGTGCCAACGCAGGCAGCGCTAGAAGGAGCGAGGCGGCAGTGAAGGGAGCAGAGCCGCACAAGCCGATGCCTCCTCTATAGCGCCGCCTCCTGTCACAGGCGGAGTGATACCAAATGCACTCCGCCTATGAGGAATCGATAGTGAAAGCGCGCTCCGCTCATTCTGGCCAGAGATTGGTTACCAAATTGCTCTTGGAAAGGTACGACACCCCCGATCACCATATTTCTGTACATGAATAGATGTAGACTGTTGTTCATGAATAAGTGTGGATTGTTGTACATAAAAAAAATAAAAATAAGACCTACCCCAAAAATAAGACCTTCTGTGTTTTTTTGAGCCAAATAAAATATAAGACAGTGTCTTATTTTCGGGGAAACACGGTACTGCGGGGTTAGGCAACCTCCGCTCTCTGGTTGTAGTAAAACTAAAAATCCCATCATGCTTTTGCCTCTAGCAGTCATGCCTGTGTCTGTCAGTCTTGCAATGCCTCATGTTATGGGATTTGTAGTTCCACCACAGCTGAAGTGCCGAGGTTGCCTTCCCCTGATTACTTCTGAATGAACAATGATACATTGCTGTCTCTGAAACACATAAATCCGGTCACTTGACTTGTCATTGGCACCACGCGAAGCTAAAATCAGTTACGTAACCCGAGTGAGCAGCACGAGGTATAAAATGACTCTTGGTCGAGGACAGCGGTGGTGGTATGTAGAGCAAAGGGCATCATGTCATCTATGTACAACACCGATATATATTTTTATATATATATAGCACACGCGGTGCCCCCCCCCCCGGTGTGTGTGTGTATTCATATATAAAAATAGCTCAAAAGTTATATAAAGTGAAAAAGTTCTATAAATACAACATGAACTTTATCTCTGTTTACGGAATGCTACAATGTGTCCGAGTGCAGCAACATGGCTGAGTGGTTTGTTTACTATAAACTTCCATGTACGGCTCCAATCACCGCCCAGCACTGACTGATGATGTCACCCGCAGAGGCTGTGGTGTGCTACTAACAAGTCAAAAGAAGGTCGAAGAAGTGAGGACAAAGGTGAAGGGGGCAGAGATCCAATTTTACTGAAACTGAAGGGTTTGGGGAGGGAAGGGATGCAATTGTGTGCTGGGGTTAGTGTGACAATAGAGGGAGCTGATGTGTGTAGAGAGGATGTGTCTGTGTATTATAATAGTGTCTATACTATCAACTGTGGGATGTGTGTGTGTGTGTGTGTACACATATATATATATATAAAGCGCCAATGCTTTGCGCAAAGCTTTACAATATTTTATATATATATATAGGTACAGGCCAGGCGCACGTCCAGACAAAGGTAAGCAGACTTGGACTACAAATATATATATATATATATATAGAGAGAGAGAGATAGATAGATATATATATACATATACATCTTTTTATATATATACATTTTTATATATCTTCTCTACTGGACTAATACGGCTTACCCATTTACATTACACTATATATATATAAATACACACACTGTTGTATTATAGAGTGTGTATATTACTTTTGTTTAGTTCACATGATTGATTTCTTTTAGCAAACATTTATATTTCGGGTAACCTCCGAGTCCTGTTTTTCCTTTTGCTCTGTGATTATGTTGCACTGAATTTGCGTTTTACATGCAGTGAACACTGAAGTGATCCGGTGCGCTTCCTGTAGGAGCAGCAGCAGCCAATCAAAGAGCATCGGTCGCGTCTGTGGGACCTTTAGGAGCTATTTGACAGGGCCGGCCTTAGGCCTTTAAGAGGGGGAGAGAAGCCGCCCCCAGGACGAGCTGTGTCGGCCGCACAGCGCCCTTGTTGCCATGGCGCCCTGTGCGGCCGCACTGCTCGCACACCCCTAAGGCCGGCCCTGCTATTTGAGATTTGCTTGCAGTGCACTACACAGGTCATTTTCTTTGCCTTATTTATTTAAAGCTGAACTCCAGCTATATATAATGAGGAGGGGAATGTATCGCAACTGGAGCAGACAGAACCTGGAGCAGTTCTCCATGGTAACCAATCAGCTTCTCTCTTCAGTTTGCTCAGTTGAGATTTGAAAATGAGAGAGAGAAGCTGATTGGTTGCCGTGCAAATCTGCTCCAGTTTTGATAAATTCCCCTCAATGTGTATATATACCTATATTGGTCCAGCTTGGCACAATGTATATATAAAATATCCCTGGAAGAGGCACAAGGATCTTGTAATACACTGTAGTAGCTGCAGCTACCACAGTAGAAACTTAAAAGATAGTATGCAATGTTCGTACAAAAAGAAACCACTTTTATTCAACAAGCATCTATACAAAGAGCAACTGCTGATGCATTTCTGCCTTACACAACCTTAAAGGAGAACTATGGGGTCAGTGTTGTTCCCCCATAGTTCTCCTAAGGGTCACGGGAGGACATAAACTACCGTCCCCCCGTGACCCAAAGCTCAGTATACCGCGAGTTACAGCACTGTCGAGATCCACCCAGCTGCATGATTGACAGCTGGCTCTGCCTATCTAGAAGCAGTGCCAGCTGTACCCGCTCCCTCCCCGTCCGTTCCGCCAGTCAGCGCTGGAGGATCGGGCCC